CCCCCCCTGATCTGAACCCGAGTGATGTTCTGTTGTTGGACTTCTGTGCTTATCATGGATTGTCAATAACGAACACCTTGTTCAAGCATAAGGGTGTCCATATGTGCTCTTGGCACCAGGACACCCTAAGCCGCAGTTCGATGATCGACTTTGTTATTGTCTCAACTGATCTGCGGCCACATGTCTTGGACACTCGGGTGAAGTGGGGGGCGGAGCTGTCCACTGATCCCTACCTTGTGGTGAGTTGCCTCCGATGGTGGGGGAGGATGCCGGTCAGACCTGGCAGACCCAAACGTATTGTGAGGGTTTGCTGGGAACGTCTGGCAGAGTCTCCTGTGAGACGGAATTTTAACTCCCACCTCCGGGAGAACTTCGAACATGTTCCGAGGGAGGTGGGGGACATTGAGTCTGAGTGGACCATATTTCATGCCTCTATTGTCGAGGCGGCTTACCAGAGCTGCGGCCGCAAGGTTGTCGGTGCCTGTCGCGGAGGCAACCCTCGAACCCGATGGTGGACACCGTCGGTGAGGGATGCTGTCAGGCTGAAGAAGGAGTCCTATCGGGCCTTTTTGGCCTGTGGGACCCCGGAAGCAGCTGATGGGTACCGGCAGTCCAAGCGACATGTGGCTCGGGTGGTTGCTGTGGTAAAAACTCGGGCATGGGAGGAGTTCGGAGAGGCCATGGAGAACGACTTCCACACGGCTTCGAGGCGATTCTGGTCCACCATCCGGTATCTCAGGGGGGGAAAGCGGTATGCCACCAACACTGTTTATAGTGGGAGTGGTGTGCTGCTGACCTCAACTCGGGATGTTGTGGGTCGGTGGGCGGAATACTTTGAAGACCTCCTCAATCCCACCGGCATGTCTTCCACTGAGGAAGCGGAGCCTGGGGACTCTGGGTCGGGCCCTCCAATCTCTGGTGCTGAGGTCACCGAGGTGGTTAAAAAGCTCCTCGGTGGCAGGGCCCCAGGGGTGGATGAGATTCACCGTTATCCATAGATTTGGATCAGATTGGCACGACTGCTGACATGATCACCAACCTGTGTGCAGCACTTGCAGAGTGCTCTGCCCGCATCGCATCCTGGGCAACTTTGCTGCAGAGACAGATGTGG